GTGCCGGGTGCAAGGGCATCCCCGTCCCTTGCATGCCCCTGGACGCGTGGCCCCGCCCCCTGGGCGCCCGGCGCGTGAGTGGCCCCGCGCCCGGGAGCCTCTAAAGGTTGGGGACCACTGCTTTAAACAATTAACACTGAATCACTCTCTTGGTTTTCTTAAACAAATTAGGGTTCTATACATCAAAAGAGAAAATATAAAGAACAATACAAAAGACTGCATTTTTCAGAGCTCCCTGGTGGACCATGGTGCACTGTTTACTTCACAACCCAGCCAACTCTGCTGACTGATCAGGGCTATGGTCAAGTAGAATGCAGTAGGATTTTCTCATTCAGCAGTAAGCAGATGCTTGGGGACTGCTGAGAAGGGAGTGGTAAGCAGGAGGCAGAGCACTTAACATGTGTCCTTTCACGTTGTTTTCAGCTCTCCAGCCAGTTTGATGACACACCCAACTTGATTGCCCACTTTCACGAATGGCAGGCAGGCGCTGGGCTCATCCTTTCTCGATTTAGGAAACTTCCAGTTGCCACAATCTTTACTACCCATGCCACACTTCTCGGGAGGTACTTGTGTGCTGCAAATATAGATTTCTATAACAAACTTGACCAGGTAAGTGTCTGTTGTCTTGTTTCCTCTTTATGGCACTTCCAATAACTTTTCAATGAAGCTAAAGATTCTGGTGTTAGTACTCTTCCTCTCTAAATGCTAACTAAGGGTATGTCTAGACTACAAGCCTCTTTCAAAAGAGGTTTTCATCTAAAATCTTTCGAAAAAGGCTTTTTCGAAAGAGCGTCTAGACTGAAACTACTCCTTTTGAAAAAGCAAGATGCGTTTTTGAAAGCACGCAGGCTGTCTGGATGCTCTCTTTCGAAAAAGCTCTGTTTGCATTCAAGAACGCCTTTTTGTTTTTAAAGAGCACTTTCGAAAAAAGGTATTCTTCCTTGTAAAATAAGGCTTACCGTGGTCAGAAAAACCGCCGGGTTCTTTCTATTTAATTTTGAAAGAATGTAGCAGAAGTCTAGACATGGGTAGTTCCCCCCACCCCCCAAAAAAAGTCCACTTCCTCCCCCCCCCCCAAAAAAACCCCTGTAGTCGAGACACACCCCAATGGTCCTTAGCTGCTTCTTTTAACTATCCAGTCTGTAGGTGCTTTGCTTGTTACATACCAACTCAGTTTTCCCTTTGATATTTATATGCCCACTACCTCTTTTTGTTCCCCCCCCCCTTTTAATTTTGGTTCTGGACATCCAACACTCCAGTCATCTGAAGAAGTGGGCTGTGCCCATGAAAGCTCATGATACCATCTACATGTTTTGTTAGTCTTTAAAGTGCTACCAGACCATTAGTCTGTACAGGATAAACTTAAAAAACAACAAACTCGGCTACCCCTCTGAAATCATTAAACTATGCAGCTCCTGGCTTTGGTGACTGTGAACACTAGCAGTGCACAGTTATTCCCTCTTGTATGTTCTCATAGGGTGGGCCCATATTAGAAGTACATTTCCACAATTTCAAAGCTTAATACATTGTATTAGTCAAGTCATTAGGTATGTGAGGCCTGATTCCAAATCCAGTGAAATCATGTGTCTTTTCATTGTCGTCAGTTGGATCAGGCCTGTACTGAGGAAAACAGAAAACCCTCAAACTCCTGGGCTAATCAACGGCCCAATCCACTGACTGGCTATAATAATACTTCTCATCTGAAGCTCTTAACAGTTTGAGGATATTTTCAAAGGCACAAAGGTCAGTTAGGGCATGTCTACACTGCAGCATTATTTTGAAATAATTTGTGTCATTTTGAAATAACAAGATGAGCATCCACACAGCAAGCCCTTCATTTCAAAATAACAGGCTTCTTATTCTGTAACAATACACTCTTTTCATGAGCAATAACACCTATTTTGAAATAGTGGTAGAATGGATGCTCCACGGCTGCTATTTTGAAATAGCTCATCCCCAGGGCGACAGTAATTACTCCCCGGTACTTCCTGGGATTCTAAATCGAGGTAGCGCATCCACGTTAGGGGAGCCTGCCTTGGACTAATTTCAAGTCTTCTCTGTAGTGTGGACATGCTATTTTGAAATAGTTATTTTGGGAGTTATCATTCCAAAATAGCTTATTCCGAAATAAGCACGTCATGTAGACATACTCGAAGGGGCCCAACTCCCACTGAAAGTCAGTGCCTTTGAAAATCTCTCCCTTTGGGTCAGTGAGGCAACTGAGACAGAGGGATGTTGAGGAAATTGGTTGAGATGTCCTGTAGCCAACTGAGTAGTTGGTGGCACCCACATAGCTGGGGTCTAGTCTTAAAGATGATGCTTAAGTTGCTGTTGTTTACAGCACTTTTTATCAGTGTAGGGATTTAGAAAAAACTGTATAGTACTGTCATCTCTGTGTAATGACATTACAACTGGGTTCCTATTATAAGGCTCATTTTGCCTTCTTCCAACCTGCCCTTGATCTCCTGTAAGTCAAAAAGAAATCTGTATGATCTCAAGTTTTTAGTGTTAAATCTTACTGGCAGCTAGAATTTTGTTCTCAATTTTTGATTTAATCTTAAAATCAAATTAAGGACCTATTAAAAATATGTTTCTTGATGATGTCTAAATACAGTGTCAAATGGCATTTGTTTTGTGTTCCCATCTGGCAAACTTATGCTATCACATTACAGCACAAAAGTGAAAACAGAAGTGGAATTTTGTTGCAGTTCTTTGCTATACTTGCTGTTTAGAACTGTAGGGATAGGCTGTGATCTACACTGTTCAAATGTGGATAGAGAGTAGGGATGTAATGGCATAGTTGATTAACCAATAAGCAAGAGCTTATAGGTTAATTCTATAGACTACACATATTTCAAACCCCTCCCCACCGCTCGAGCCAGTCTGGGACCTACCCCTACTGTGACTCTGGATTTAAAGTGTATTAGGAGCCAGATGGGCAGACAGCCCTGCTCAGTTCCGGCTTGTGCTGTGTCTAGGAGCTCAGACCCGCCACCCCTCTCCCCCCAGTCAGCTGCCTCCATTATCAGAGGCAACAGCAGGGGCAAAAGGCAGCCAGCCCGCAATGGGAACTGGTTTTTAAACTCGCTCTCCTTGTGGACTAGCTCCATGCCTGGTATCCCACACTGCTGCCTCTGCATCAAGGCAGCAGCGTGGAGTGGCAGGAGACTCCTCAGGAGTGGGGCTGGAGCGCCCTGGTTGCTGGCCCCATCCCTGGGGACTACAGAATAGTCAGGTAACCAATAAGAATTCATGAGGTTAATCGACTATTCAATTAATTCAATTTAACATCCCTAATAGAGAGAGAAGTTGATTTTGAGGTTTTTTTATGCATCATTGTATGAAACATGCCAAATCGCTTTTCAAAATCCTGTTCTTTATGAACGTCTTTACTAATTCTTGGACCTAAACATAAAGAAAGTGCCCGACTATCCTCATACAAGTCTGTTCACTTGTCATATTGCTGCGAAATAAGCCAGCTGATAGTATGCCAAAAATTAATGAAGTGCCCTCCTCTAAAGTCTGTACTACTTTTCAATTCTCTGTATCATGGAACTGTGCATCTTTAACCGTAATACCTTGTAAACATTTTAATTTAATACTTGCGTTCTACTGCAATACAAGTTTGTAAAAGAACAGCAGTAAAAAGCAAACTTTTAAAAAATTCTCTTTCCTGTGTTCTCCAGTCAAAGCCATGCTGTCTACATCAGACTATTTCTGGGTAGCAGTATACCTTTTTGAAATCCCATTCATTGTTATGATATAGAGAAATACGTCTCTGAGTATCTTTTATGTATTAATATCATCTCTCAAGCTTTTATCCTTAATCTCTGCAAATATACTTTAATGATTGAGCCTAATGGAATTCCACAGCTCATTCCTTTAGGCCCGACACAAGGCAGGTTGACATTTAATGGGTACTGATGCGGGAAGTTGCGCCAGGCTGTTACACGCCTGTTTCACAGACACTTGCAGTGCATTAAAGCGCGTCCTGACAAACCTTAACATTTACTAAGAGATCAACTGTCTTAATGAGAGCATCTCTGGCTGTAAAAAGGTCAGCCTGGCCCAAAAGCCAGATGAAAAGCATAAGGGGCTGATCTGGAGCACACTCATTAAATGATACAGATAGGCAGGTCTTCAGAGGATATTCTTGCTGCTGTTTGACCTTAGTAGCCTACTACTGAAAGACAAGTGATTTGTCCAGTGATAAGACTCTCCAGGGCTTTTTAGTGTTTAACCTTTGGATGAGACCATATACTTTTAAAGGGCATGTCACTTTTTTTCCCCTTTCCAAAGTACAATGCATAGTTTTCTGTTCCAGCTGGATTGTGTGTGAGATTTAAGCTCTGTTTGATCAGTGTTTCTTGGAAGGAACTTATTTTTCTTCAGCTCTGAGCACAGTATCTGAGACAGACGGGAGGGGAGAAGCTAAGGGTGCATGTTATTCCATAAATAAGTATCTTATAATGCAGAGGTGGTGCTACAATCTAGCAGAGCCTGGGAATGAGCGGACCTGCTTAGTGCCTGCAGAAAAAGTGAACCTCATGATACAACACTCAATGCAAAAACACAAGGATAGGTTTCAGGGAGGTCCAAAGAGAACCCTGCTCCACCCTGATCAAGAGGCACTGTCAAAGAGCCAATGTGCAGTGAGGAAGGAGGGTTTAAATGATGAGACACACAGGATATATGTGCAGGGACAGGTTTCAGAAGACACAGCGAGAAAGGCAAGGCTACACTTGGATTCCTATTTGAATATACAAAGAAACAAGCGGCAAAGTGTTTCTTTCTTTCTGATGTACGTTTGGCAGGTAAAAATGCCTCATAGTCACATTCTTAACAAACCACAACAAATGAATGCAAACATAAACACAAACCTAAATGGCACAAATGCATAGCCTGATGTAAGCCCACTGAAGTCATAGACTTACACCAGAGATGAATTTGCCCCAAGTTCCCTACATTTGGGAATAAACCTTAGCATCAGGAATTGTATAAAGCAACGTGTACAGTTACGGACATTTTCCCCATCATCGTTGTAAGCAGATGGGGAGGTTGGAATTGTGAGGGCCAGCCAGGGGGTGACTGTAATTCAGGAGTCTGATTGCAAGTTTGTTCTGCTTGAAACAAAGCAGCTACTAAAGAGAATGTAACAGATCTGTGAGTGACCATATGCTGGCGAATTAGTCTAAGTACAACTATACCACCTTTAGCTGGCCCTAATAGCGTATGAGGTATGGTAAAGAAAAATAGAGCTTAGCTGGTATGCCTTTGCTTGCCAGCCTACCCAGGTTGATAGAATGAGCCCAGAGGACCATTGGCCAGTCCTAAAGGTGATGAGCTAAAGTTCTAGATTCTGGTCTCAGGTCCACTAGTGTAAATATGTCATTCCATTGAACTTGGCAAAGTCGCTCTGGATTTGTAATGGGGTGACTGAGAGAATCTGTCTGTAATAGTGGAGATTAGACCTGTGCTTTTATGAAATTAGAAGACTGTAATTTCAGTTCTCATTGTCTTATGTGGGCAATCAAAATGGAAATTCTAACTTATTCTGTTTGCTTTAGCTTCTGTAGTATTCAGGAGAATTTTTTTAGACATGTAAACAG